AAAAAAAATGGATGATTATCTAAACATTGTTGCAATAAATTAGTTTGATTTTTTTATGATTTTTTTTTTTTTTTTTTCTTCTTCTTCTTAAGTTTTAGTTTTTGGCCACCGGATGCATTAAAAAAAAATGGATGATTATCTAAACATTGTTGCATTAAATAAGTTTGATTTTTTCAAGATATTTTTCTCGAATTCATTTTGCCTTATTCATCTTGAGTGCCCACACATCATTTGCAACATTTTATCAATATTTACAAGATTTTTCTTTTTACGGCCCACGTTTGAAAAAAAAAAAAGAAAAGAAAAGAAAAATCTCGGCGATTATCATCAAGAACCGTTATGTACAGTACAGTATAGTATTGTCGAAGTATTATAAATATATATCAATGTCGTGGGAGATAGCTATCAGATCACACAGCGTAGTAATGCTCAGATTTAATGTGATCTATTGATAAATACTTAACGTTGAAACCTAAGATTATCAATAAAAAAGAGGAAGTTTTTACATAGCGCATTTCACATTGTCTCATTGCGCTTTACGTTTGTGACCAGTAGAGGACTTTACGGGCTGGACATTAAGGCACTATTATGAGCCCTATTGGTTGTTAGATATTGATTTAGCTGAGATTAAGTTGGGTGTCTAACATAAAGGATTATTTCAACACGTGAGTGGAGACAGTGATATGCTAATGATTCTGGATAGTTATCACTACCTGATCGAGATTGCCACACGCTAGCTGTTAGCACATTGCGTTTATCATGGAGTTAGAGACAAGGGTTTGAAAATAAATGCGGAAATCCTAAAATACATTTCTGCTGGGGAATTACGCAGCGGGAAGCGATGTGTTGGTGTGAGAAGATCGATGGGTCTGATAAGAGATAATTTACGTAGAAAGGAAGTATTTCTTATACATATACATCTTTCAACACAATAGGGATTAACATATGTTTTTAAAGATTTGATTTGTTTGGATTTTTTCCGAGAAAAATATGCTTGAAGAAGTCGGTTCCAGGCATCTCGTTGAAGGCTTCGTGTACAAGGAAGGAAAAAATGCAAGTCAGTTCAAATTTTTTCGTGTAGTCTGCGGTCAGTGTCACGGCGGGAAAGGTCACGCAATTGAATTTCTGACAACTCCCGTACGAATTATTCACGATTGTTATTCGTACGGGAGTCGGTTCAGCGAATATTTACCAACATTTTTCACTCCCGTAGGAATAAGTAGCGATTGTTATTCGTACGGGAGTCGGTTCAGCGAATATTTACCAAGTACATTTTTCACTCCCTTACGAATTATTCGCGATTGTTATCCGTACGGGAGTCAGTTCAGCGAATATTTGCCAACATTTTTAACTCCCGTACGATTTATTCGCGATTGTTATCCGTACGGGAGTGGGTTCAGGAGTCGGTTCCAGGTATCTCGTTGACGGCTTCGTGTACAAGGAAGGAAAAAATGCAAGTCAGATCAATTTTTTTCGTGTAGTCTGAGGTCAGTGTCACGGCGGGAAAGGTCACGCAATTGAATTTCTGACAACTCCCGTACGAATTATTCACGATTGTTATTCGTACGGGAGTAGGTTCAGCGAATATTTACCAACATTTTTCACTCCCGTACGAATTATTCGCGATTGTTATTCGTACGGGAGTAGGTTCAGCGAATATTTACCAACATTTTAAACTCCCGTACGAATTATTCGCGATTGTTATTCGTACGGGAGTAGGTTCAGCGAATATTTACCAACATTTTCCAATCCCGTACGATTTATTCGCGATTGTTATTCGTACAGGAGTCGGCTCAGAAGTCGGTTCCAGGCATCTCGTTGAAGGCTTCGTGTACAAGAAAGGAAAAAATGCAAGTCAAATCAATTTTTTTCGTGTAGTCTGAGGTCAGTGTCACGGCGGGAAATGTCACGCAATTGAATTTCTGACAACTCCCGTACGAATTATTCGCGATTGTTATTCGTACGGGAGTCGGTTCAGCAAATATTTGCCAGCATTTTTCACTCCCGTACGAATTATTCGCGATTGTCAGATCAATTTTTTTCGTTGAGGACGGCAATCAAAGTGAAACTGAAACGCTGGGGGTCATTGGAAATATGAGTATTCTGAAGCACATACTACACGAGCTAGTTTTTTGAAAAACACACACACACACAGAGTGAAAAGCGTAGTGCGCACGTGTATAAAAACAAACGTTCAAATAAATGATTCTAAAAATAGCATTAATGATTCTAAAAATAGAATCAAAGGGTGCTCATGATGGGGCCTGGGATTCCTTCTCTTAGTTCATTTTCTCTTGGTCATGGTCACGGCACGGTAACAAAAAAATTGATTCCAATAAAACCATCTGAATTAATCAGACATGTTGATCCAGCTCGCTCTCTTGATCAGGCCCCAGCCCCTTTCTATCTTCCCGGTCATTTTCATCTTCATTATGACGTCATATAATGAGTGAATTATTTTGCGCGGGTTGATAATTGTTACGTCATCACTGCTTGAAAATTTAGGGTAAACAAAACGATGTAGTTAAAAAGAAAAGATCATTTATATACAGATATCAATTGTTCTTCAAGATAAAATGGAATCTCTAAAGCAGAAAATGATAGAACTGCGAGATAGTTTAGAGACCTCGAACACACGTGCCGAACAAGCGAGATATAACCTTACTTTAACCCAAGATAGAATGGAAAATGCAGAAGAAAGAGCACAGTCGTTGAACCGGCGGCTCGAAATGACACAACTGCAGCTAGACAGGATCATGTTGAACTTGGAAGAAGCATCCCAAAAGGTGGAAAACACCAGTGCTATTTGTGCGAGAACACACGATGAAATACAGCAGTTAGTGGTAAAAGATGAAGAAACGATGCAGAAGGAAAATGAGCTAAAAGTCAAGGTTTGTGACTACAGAATCCTCGATAGTAATGGAAATTATTCATGCTGATAATATTATTGAAATAATATATACGGCTTAGAAAAGAAAAACGAGAAAAGAAAATATTATTTACAATTCCAACTTGATTTTCTCTCTTTCGTTTTAATAATAAGACAAAAAAGGAATATTCGCAACCGAAATATCTTGATTTTAAAATGAAGCCATTAGCTGTCAAAGTGGTCTAAAATGGACGAAAAAAATTAGTATATTTAAATATATTATTCTTTGTATTTCCACTTGTCGTGCTTGTAATGAAAGCAAAAATAAGTCGATTTGCAATAAATTGCTTTCGTGTTGAAAATATAATATGAATATTCTAGCCAGATAATCCAGCCTAATTGAAAAAGCCAATTTCATAAAAAAAGCTATATATATTAGCATTTGAACAAGCAAAACAATCAATATGCCTGAAATACTTGATAAATACACGCTTGTGAAACAAAAAATGATTATGTTTTTGGAGCTGTTTCGTTCTGCATTTTTTAAAAATGTTTTTACCAACCAGGACTAGAACATTGGCAATTTTATCATGATATTCAACGTTTGAGCTAGAGCTATGTTCGTCGGTTTTGGCATAATTGATCAAGTTACTCGTATATTGAGTATATTAAGAACTTACCCCAGCCATAACAGTGTGAATTGTTGACGTTCTATCGGCATATATCTTTACATTTATCACAATGTTTTGCATAAATTTATTTCGAAATGCATTTCTGAGTTAATGGAAAACATTCTAGACGATACTGAATTATTTGTTTTGAACTGTTGCAAAAGGCTTAGGTTTTTCCTTACGACTTCCTTTTTTTCAATTTCTCATTCTTTTCTATTTTTTAAATTTATGCAAAACATCGTTTTATTGAAAAATGGTTTCATATTTGTTCCAAAAACAAGAGAAATTTTTGCAGAAATTTAAACTAAAGATTTTTGGAATCTTTTATAACACTTTAACACTTTAACACTTTAAATTTTTGGGCTGCACATATTTTACCGCTCCACCCCTCTACTATATTCTATAGCAACTACAAATATTAATTAGTGCTACATTTATGTTAACTAGAGTACAAACACTATAAGTGTGTAACATAAATACCACTAAATACTGCTAAATTATGCGAATCCTATTGTTTTCTATTGTTTAATTAGCACTATTTACTACTTAATTGGACAGGTCTTGTTGATATGGGATTAATTAGGCAGCAATATAATTAATAGGTAATGGGATTTCATGCTCTCCAATCAAGAAATAATTAGACTCGAAAAATACCTCTGACTGCCAAATTGGACTCGCCCTACGGCCTCATCCAATTTTGGAAGTCCTCGGAATTTTCCTCGTCCAATTATTTCTTAATTGGACAGCATGGAGTCCTATTACATATACAAATAGTGCCAAGTGTTGCACACTTTTAGTGTTTGTACTCTACTATTTTTAATTACTCTTTTTTTAAACTGTTTCGCACAGTTTATTAGTCCTTCCGAGGTTGAGGAAAAGACTGGGTCGAGTTGGCATTACAGTGCATTGTGGGGCTGTTTTAGGAGACATATTTCCAAGATGGCGTCTAGTCTCGTCCCTTAAAACAGCCCCAATAAGCACTGCCCAGGAGTTTATTTTTTCCCTCAACTTCAGAATGGCTAATCTAATTCTTTTACTTTCCCGTGCAGTTGAAAGAGGCAAATAATTTCGAAACAGAGGCACAATTAGAATGCGAAGCAGCCAAAAGAAAACTCAAAGTCAACGAAATAAAGAAACTACAGGCTGACCAACGAATCGAAAAACTTGAAGACAAGGAGAGAAAAATCAATGAAAATCTAATAAGTTTGAATGCGCAACTAGAAAAAGCCAGTTTACGAGCCACGAGAATCAACAAGACGAATGAACTGGAAAATAGGATCTTGTCTTTGAAGAAAAAGTGTATGGAAGCCGACCTTCGACGCGAGGAAGCAGAGAGGAACGTGCAACGTCTTTTACACGAGCTTTCTGCTTTGGAAAACGAGTCTGAAATGATCGAGGCTTCAAAGAAGGAGGCTGAGGATGAACTGAGAATGGTTATGGATCACTTGAATACAGAATGAAAAATAATACAATTTGATGCATTCATTATATATTGATTGGAATACGTTTGTATAAAGGGCTTTACCTTGTTACATTGTATTTAAGACTGGATCAAAGGATTAAAGATGTTGTATGGAAAACTTCAAACTTTTATATTTTATTGAACCCTGAAACCACTTCTGGGCTGATCAAAGTCAGGACACTGCTAACTCACTGATCGAACCCTGAAACAACCTCTGGGCTGATCAAAGTCAGGGCATGGCTAACTCACAGATGGAACCCTGAAACAACCTCAGGGCCGATCTAAGTCAGGGCATGGCTAACTCACAGATTGAACCCTGAAACAACCTCTGGGCTGATCTAAGTCAGGGCATGGCTAACTCACAGATGGAACCCTGAAACGACCTCAGGGCCGATCTAAGTAAGGGCACTGCTAACTCACACTTGAGATGTAATTGGAATTTAGCGTGTTAGGTTTTGTCCTTCATGAGTAGTAAAATAGAGTCCGCTCCTACTAAAGTTATTTTCTAATCACACGTGTATCTAATAGTCCATTTGCACGCTTATACGAAAGGGGTGAGGGTACAAACAAACATGACTTGAACAGTTCAAAGTGATAATGCTTTCCAATTCATCCAGAATTTTTTCAATGAAATAAAAACAAAGAAAAATCTCTTGAGTTACATTTAATTGCAAATGTATAACTATATATTTCAGAAAATAGTTTGGAAACTAAGTGCAGATTAAAAGTTATATATCATGCGCTCAACAGTTATACACGTAAAGTCAGTAGTGAAGGGTCTAGTCTATGATATCTACGTTTTGCATTAAATATCTAGAACATTGAAAATTACTAAAACATTGAAAATTACCAGTAGTAGTACTAAATAGGACTGGTGCTGTTGACATAAACGTGCAGGTAGCGTTCAGTAGGGAAAAACTGATAAAATGTAAACCATTATCAAAAATTGCCCTGGATGGCAAAGGAAGACATACAAAAGAGATCCCAAATTCGATCGAGAAAAGACATCTGAGTATTCTTTTGTATTTTCCTCTTAGCTTTGGCATACATTCAAGATGCTATTATAAAAGGGACCTATATAGAATACTATAGAATCGTTGTCAGAAATTAGAGGGCCAACTTACTAATGACCATTTGATAATGCCAATAATAGATAATATGTAGATCAAATAATAGATATAATAGATCAAATGTGAAAATAAAAATAAATAAAAAAGAATATACCCCACTCTTCCAACAGAAAAATGCCATTTCTGCTTTCACAATCTTTCATTTACTACCAACGATACTAACGATAAAAATAGAGGATATATCTATCAGCTTAATGTCTATACATATTTTGATATTTTCGAATAAGGAAGTTTGAAATTCAACAACCAAGTATGAAAAATAGAACACTGAAATTCAGACATTTTTTTTTAAATATTAGCTAATTATCTCTATTAGCGGATAAACGAATTTAGTCATGACCAAATAATGATTGTTCTTGTTGTTTTGAACTGTGTCTTTTTGGTCTTGATGACTTTTGCTTCGGAAAAAATATCTTGAATGTCTGTGAGAAAAACAAGTCTTTTGAAAATAAGATTCGCAATAAAAAGTTCTGTCTATCAAAAACTATTGCTTTAAGATCAGTCGTATATATCCCAAATATGATCTGTCCTGTAAAATCACAGGCTAGGAAAGAGCAGAAATGCTATTTTTCACACAAATTATCTCAGCGACTTGAATTAGATGATTGCACTCGAAAGGAATTTTAACGGCAAATAACCCGGGTTTCTGATTGGCTAAGGCGGATAACAGTACCTGCGAAGAGCGCGCGCTTTGGCAAGGACAGAAACACACCTAATGACGTCATGTTTGGAAGGAAATAGCGATGGAGAATCGTTCTTTACCCGGTAAGTTTTTGAACACTTTTTGCTTGATTTTTGATCATTTTATAGCCAAATTTTGGTTTATGAAACGATGATTATAAAAGGAAAGATTAAGGGATTGTTCGTTGAATTGTTTTAGGTTGGAATTGTAGTTTTAGCATTCGTAGCTTGTACGTATTATTTTCTTTCGCTTCGATGAAGCCGACGAAAAAAATAGAGTCGATTCCTAAATGTACGATTATATAAATTTAAACTCAAACACTTTGTTATTTCATTTATTAAAGTTTGAAAAATTGGTCTGTGAAGGTTAAAGGTTGAGCTGTGCGAGTAATACATCCTTTGCTTTAGAAATATAGATTGAATTTATCAAAAATAATGATCGAAAGAGGAATGGAAAGTTACAATTCGCTGTTGATTGTCAAATTCAGTGAACCGCTACAATAGAAAAGACGAACAGCGTTCTAATCAAATAAGTTTTCAACGCAGGAGCAGGATATTTTGTAGAGATCAGATAATGCATCCAGAAAATCCGGATTCCGAAATTTCCAGTAGAGTTTCGGAATCCGAAATTTAAAAATGGGAATCAGTAATCGGCTCCTGAAATCCCGAATCCACGAGTCGACGCATATAGTACATCTTCTAATTGGTCAAATTTTGAGGAAAAACTTGGCTGGTGTGAGAAATGGAAGAGCAAGTATTCTTTGGAGAGCCAAGTATTTTCGTATAGAAAAATGACAACCTGATTTAGAGGCAGTAGGAAAGATAAATGGATATCCGAAAGAAAATGGTATTCGTTTTGTGGGCGTGCACACGGATTATCTGATTAAAACATCTCTCACTAGAATCTAGTATACAAATTAGCATGCTGTTGGCGTAGCTAGCGCCGTTCTGTTGGAAGACAAAGCAAGTAAAAATATTACATTAGCGCAAACAGTCTTCAATTCTCCGAGACCCAACTTTCTATGGTTGTCCTCCAAAGTAAGATTCATTTGGAATTGCACTGCGCAGGATCGACAGTGCGCGCACGGTTAGAGTAAAAATATTCAGATAGTTTTGTTCTGTTATTTCAGGTTGATTGACGGGTTTAAACCTCAGTGACAATAAAGCAAAATGGATCTTAAATTATTTGCAGTGTTAATTGCATCGGTGATTGGCCTGGCCTCAGCTGTGGGTAAGTAGTCAGATATAGTGCAGTTTTCGTATGACTGTGAAAAGCTCAGTGCCGTAAGCGTGCCGTGCCGTGATGCTTTCTACAATTTTATTTGGCTGATTTTTTCACGCGCAATGTGATTGGTCTGGCATTGCCGTGACCTTGGCGTGACCGTGTCCGCGCTGTGTTTATGCCGTGTTCCAGGTATTTGATTGGATGGATATCCCTTGTCGTGTCATGGCCGTGTTCGTACCGTGAATTTTTCACAGTCATACGACTGTTACTAAAGCTTAGCCTCGTATCAGTATCTAAACATTCACAAATACCAACGGTAAAGTAGAGAATGCACAACTTCAACAATACAAATGCTTTGAAATTCCACAGAACTTCACTGAAACACATAAACATTCTGCACAACATCAAGGCTAATCTCCAGCAACAGATAACTCGAAACTGGAGTATTTTGACGCGTCATTCATCCCTTGTCGTTTTTATTTTTTTCAGTGCGTTGGCCAACGGGCACATATGGCATACCCATGCCTGACGCAGGTTGTCCTGACGACGAAACCTTAAAGTGGAAGACGGGCTGGACCTACCATGACACTGAGGACGACAATAATCAGAACCAGCGGTCTGCCATTTTTCACATGCCTGGGAATTTCTCCAAACATGGCATCCAGCAAAAGTTTTGTATAAAAGACACACCCCAGGGGGGTAGTGAGTTTTGGCCCGAGGGAAAGTACTGTCTTTATAAAAAAGGTGAGAATAAAGGGCTGTTGGAGACTTCATCAATGTGCCGTGCCGTGTCCGAGGAAGTCCGCGTCCGAACTTTACTTGGATGATCTTTAAGCAGTTTTGCGCGTTACAATAGGCTTGGGGTGATGTCAATAGGCCGATCCCGGCTTTACTTCAGTGTCTACTCAACAAAACGAGGGTATAGCTCTCCCAATGAAATACAGAATGCCCGACCAACGAACTAAAATTCATAAGATGTTTTAGTAGTTATCGATTTTTTTCTTAATGTACCTTTAGAATGCATGGATTCTAAGACAGACATTTACTATTCTCAGCAATAAGTGTCTGTTCCATGCTGTATATCGAAAACACAATTTAGCTTGTGCGACGTAGCAACAGTAACTATGGAGGTAGAACAATGAATACGACGGGATCGGTGTATTTTCGTACCATGTGACGACCAAAGAAATCTGATCTTTTACAAACTGACTTAATTGGCCGATACCCAACTTATTAAATCCTTTGTATAAAAATAAAAATACTGATAGTTTGTAATCGTTATCAAGAGAATTAAAAGACAAAGACATAGCGGCCACGTTGGAGGTATTAACAAAGAAAACTAATGGGAAATAGTTTGTTAAATACCACCAACATGGCGACCATGACGTTACTTGCAAACCAACCATTCCCAAGAGAGTCGAGAGACAAAGACATGGCGGCCATGTTGGAGGTATTAACAAGGGAGGCTAATGAGGCATCATTTGTTAAATACCAGAAACAAGGCCATGATGATGCAACGTGCAAACGAGGAATATTTATAAGTAAATCCTAATGTTTCTCGTCTTGTTTCTATACCAGGCGTCTGCCCTACTAACATGAAAACAGGATATATAAGCTGGGACGACGAGCAGTCAGAACTGGACCTTAAAGACAAGCACGATGGTGCACTACCTGACGGAGATTATCCTGAAACACACACCAAGATTAACTATTGCTGTATGACCAAAGGCAATGTAAACAACCCTATCCAGCTGCCTGCACTCAAGCCATTTTATCTTCTATCTTATGGGTCTGCGCAGTGCCAAAAAGTAAGACTCCACCACGACTTAAATTGATCTATATTGGCTTTTCCGAGGTCGCGCGGAAAACTGGTAACGAGTAGTATGCGCGTTGATTCATACGACGCTATGGCCGAAGGCTTAGCAATTTATCTGGAAAAACAGACGGAAAACCAAAGATTAACACCTGTAAAAGAAAAAAAGATAATTGGCATCCCTTAAAAGACATGCCCATGATGCGCGCGTGCTATTCTTTAGACGTTTTCCGCGCAACCTCGGAAAGGAAAACAACCCGATAGCGTTTTTGGTCTTGCTTCAAAGCATGAATGACTAATATATTCTTTGGAAAGCATTCTCTGCGATGAGACAATCTCCGATGAGTCCTCTAACTTGGACACAATGCTTTCCCATTGCAAACCATGTTTCGTTCTCTTGAAGATAACATTAACATTTGTTTAAGTTGTATTATTCATATCTTCGTATGGCGACCGTTAAACAAAGAAATGATACTTTAGCGAATGATACGTGGTCTGAAATGGGAAAATAAATGTCGAGCAAATGCCGTTTTCTTGACTCTAAGATTATTCGTTTGAGTTGTATACATACCCATGTGCCTTCTCATACACCACCGTTAAACGAAGAAATGATACTCTAGCGAATGATACGTGGTTTAAAATGGGGAAAACATTACACACCATCTAAAGGTCACATATTAGCCAGTTCATAGTTTAAGAATCGTTTCCAGTGCGCATGCAATTTTATCCCGAATTTTTCATCTTTTTTAAGCTTCTTTTGTTCTTAATTAAACAAAAAGTGAGAATTTCGGGATAAAATCGCATGCGCACTAAAATGAATCTCAAACTATGAACCGGCATATTGCAATTTGAACTGTTGTCTCATTTTTTGCCTATTTTGTGCCCGTACATTAAGATTGCAGGTACTAGAGTGACAAGTGAATTCATCAAGTTTGATGATGACGATCAAGCCAACACTGACAAGGCATATGGGGCTCATCCTTATGGACCAAGCGAAGATCCATTCAACTTAAAAGTATACTACTGTTATTATGAACCAGGTAATGTAAATAACTACCACTTATGTACTCATCGAGTCACTCATTACATCGACGCAATCGCTAACTTACGGGGACATGCTCAAAAATTATTGGCTGCAAGAGCGTAATGCAAGGTGAGCCTCGAAGACAAGCGAGTCGAACTCGCCGCTCACATACCTGGAGTTTCTCCCTTACTCTTTGGTGGAGAGCCGCGAGGAGAAGCAAACTTTGAGAAAGTCAATACCTTGCACAGATTATTGCTCACAATTGCCTCTGGTTTTATAATAATAGGTCAAGAAAGTGAAGACGATTTGGGTACTGGTAAAGATGTGAAGAGTAAGGTACGAAAGAAATAGTAGAGAAGGAGGGGGGACATAACTGCATGGCATAAGACTGAAGCGCGTGATTACTTACTTCTACTTCTCATGATCAATAAAACCATTGTTTTGATTGGGCTGGGTTGTTACACGTCGAGACAAAAAACCAAAGTGACACAAGTTTCGGTCGTACAAGTAGAAAGCGGTTCTACTCGCGAAACTTGTGTCATGAACGCGTTTCAGACCTTGCGCCGTGTTAATTTCTTACGCCAGAAATTGCGTCGCGTTACACCCACGTGAAACTTGTTTCGCAACGCCGTTGCACACACGTTTAAGCTAAAACTTTCAACGCGTAATAGGGCCTGTATCGCAGGGACGTATAAGAAACACCGAGGACGCAAAGAAACCCTGGCAGTGAACATCCCTTAGTGGCTGGCCTCTACTAATGATCTATACTAATGAATTTTTGTAACAACTTAAAGGGGTTGATTCTTGGATGGGTATGGCATTAAGTATACTTATTTCAATAAAGTTAGTCACCAAAAACCTAGAAAGCTGTGATCGCTGAGAATCATGGGGAAATGTTTTATATCCAACAAGTAAAGCTTTTGACACAAACTGCAGCAGTTGAGGATGCTCAAAGGAGGTGAGACTGTAAGTGGTAAAAGATCTCAAGTCCATCAACAGTTATCAAGCGGTTGAAACATGTAAAATGTATCTACCCATAATCCTTGCCGGTCTCAGCTTTGTAGCTTTTCAGGTGACTAACTTTATTGAAATAAGTGTATATATCCCTGAACTAACACTGATAATGTTTGTCTTCACAGATACCTACAGGCAAGTCATCGTCTGGCCTTGCAGTCGCCATTGGTTGTGGGGTTGCTGGTGCAATTGTTGGTACTGCATCTATTGCTTTTGCAACCAAAAGAATCTTGGCCCATAAGGCACGAGCTGCATTTGATGCTATGGAACCTCAACCAGATGGTCCTTAGAGGACCAAGATGGACCAAGATGGACCCTAAGGGACCTATCGTATTTAATTATTATATCGTATTGACGCTAAGTAACTAAGAACGGAAGACAACAAACGAGACTTGTTAACTTATAGTCTAAGAACCTAATCTTCATGTAGACACAATACTTATATAGCTTTCAGGTTACTGCAAAGCCCTACAGTGCGCATGTTTTACAGCGCTCATCAATCACACACGCGAAATTGTGAAAACTTTTTTCGAGACATGATAGAGTTTTGGTGGACGCCAATCAAAGTGTTTTCCAGGATTGTCGGAAAACACAAAGCTTTTAAGGGCACGTGACTATGGAATGTCATGGAAACGCATTGATTGACGTCCTCCAAATCCTACTTCGTCATGATGGCAAATTGTACGATTTCACGCGTGTTTGAGAAGCGCTGTAAATCAGTTCCACTACAACCACAATGCTATTGGTAGAACTACTTAGAAGAAAAATAAGGAATGTTGAAGCAAATGTACAAATAATGATGAAATGTAAGTTAAATTTTGACATTGCAAAATGACCTCAGGTTTGATGTTTGTTTGTTTTGTAATTATTTGTTTGCGTTCAAGTGACTATTGATTTAGCAAATAAATCATCTAATTTGTAAATATATATGCTATACTAGAGTGATTTTCATAAACCCGTGAAACAAATTTTAGCTATTAACGTCTATTAACGCATATTAATGTGTAATAGCGATTATTATTGAGACAACTAAGTATTGCAGTGAAAGTTCATTGACTGTATTTTATTGCTTCGTTGTTTAAAGTCTAATGAGTAATAACTCGTACTAGATTGTATTGATGACTATTGCGTTGACATTTATTTCACGGGTTTATGAAAATCACTCTACTGATGACTGCGTTATGTGGTAATACTACCGTCACGAACACTGCTTTCTAGAGCCAGTTGTACTCAAACGACGTACAGTTTTATTCGTAAGAAATACTTCTCGACTCCTTTGGAGGTTCGTGTAATTTAACTATGATTTTTGAATATAGATAAGGCAGATGAATATAAATAATAATCGTAATTGTTCTACTCTAATTAGTTTACATTAGATAAACTAAAAATCAAGTTGTAAAGGAATTTTGTGATTTATGATTGAATGAACAGACAATAGGCCTTTGCGGCTTGTGCGTAATGCTTTCCCAATTCAGACCACGTGTCATTCCCTAGAGTATCATTTCATTGTTTAACGGTTGCGCATGAGAAGACACATGAATATGGATACGACTACAAAGAATTGTATCCTCAGGAGAATGACACGTGGTCTGAAATGGGAAAATATTACACCCAAGGTGAAAAGGTCTATTGAGACTATATGAGTCAACACTTGTTAGAAAGTAGTGTGATCACTGTCCGCCATGTTGAATGACAACTATGTCGACGTTACACGCACGTGTACACATCTCAATCCACTACGATAATATGCACTCGAAGGACACTTCCCTAATGTCATTTTCATAAAGATAGGATAGGTTCTATCGACACTTCATCCTCTCTCTCCCGAAATCCGCCCATGCAAGTAGGAATCATAAAGATCAGAAAAGGGCGTACTAGCCTTCACGTTTAACCGCTGACACAAATGTCTTCTGGCGAACACTGAGGACTAAATTTGACCGCTGACCTAAATAATATATAACGCTCTATTAGACTTAAGACTGCAATCCTTGGGTTTCAGTCACGTGACTTTCGAGCGTAATTTTACTTCCGGTAAATCAAGTGGTACTGGTCAAATAAACCGAGTCGGACGGAGCGGATGTGACATCATATGCAAGCTAAAAAAGTACAGGCTTTAGGCTAAAGGCTCAAATATTCTAAAGTGGAAAAAAACAACTTAAAATCTGATGGTCAGCTAAGAAGAGGCCACAATACTACGACGGGTTTCCTGTGGTAAAGCATTATTGCAGGTACCAGTCAACATGACATCTTCAGAAGCGAATTCAAATAAATAGGGAGGAATGAGGAAATAGTTATGCAGAAATATATGTATACCAAAAGCGCGAGAAAAAATGAAGTCAAACCAACTAAAACCCGTGACCAAGGGGTTGCTCTGTTGCTATACCAAGGTATCAAGAAAAATGAAGAATGAGGAGTTATAGATGTTGTAAAAGATGGTTTTCTAGATACAAACGAATATGAATAGCAAAAAAAGTGGGGGAAAGTCGAACCAGCTAAAACACGTGACCAAGGAGTTACTCTGTTGCTATGGCTACCAAAAACATCAAGGAAACAGACTGTCAATAAGTGACGTGACCTGTGCTCATGTTACACAGCCAATCAGAAGAACAGAAACAGTAGGGAAGATCTGACAGAGCAAGTTTGAAAAGGAAGGGAGGGTGGGTGGGGAAGATTGTTAGCTCTCAACAAGCTACGCCCAAAGAAAGAAAGTATTCCTGCTTCGAAGGAAAAAGTATTACGCACACCAAACATGATTCTATCTCTTTAACTTTGTGTACATCTAAGGTAAGCTTGAAGATGGTATTTCATTAGTAAATGAATAGCCAAAATTATCTTTGAAGGAAAAAATCCGCTGGTAATATCAACAATCACACTTTTCGCGCGCTAAACGTTAAAGTATTATTGCCAAAAAAATTGCTATAATTACATATCATTATTTCTTAAGTTAAGATAATTCATCTAAGGATAGATTTTAAAAATATTTTGATAAAGCAATGTTTACCCATTTCACACCACGTGTCATTCTCTCGAGAATAAGGTTCTTTCTTCGAGTTGTATCCATATTCATGTGTCTTCTCGTGTGCAACCGTTAAACAAAGAAATGCTACTCTAGGGAATGTCACGTGGTCTGAGATGGGTAAACGTTGCATAAAGACAAATTAAGTGTATTAGAAACGCACAGGCAAACACAGTAACAAAAACTACAAACGAAAATTTTGGTAGTGACTGGTACCCACGTGTACAAACAAAGAACCGACGACGAAAAAACGAAAACAGAACTGTGCTACAATCAAGTAATGATAAACAAAATCTTTCATCTGCTTACACTTCCTTATTCTTTTATCCTAGATAAAATGTGATACTTCCTTGGCCGGATATCTTTTTCTAGAAGCTATGAAGCCGTTGTTTCAAAGAGTATTCGTTTTTCTGTTCATGGTGTGTCTATTCACTCCAACAGGTAAGCGACAGCAAGATTTTGGGAGAATTAATTTTTCTTGTCTAGGGTATAAAGAAAATATTACTGAGCTATGTGGACTACTTTATATATTTCATTAAGCATTACAATAAACTGTCGGTTTTTTTCTTCTTATTTGATTGACTGACAGACAGCAGAACACAATCTTGAATACATTCAAAAATTTATCCAACGATTATACACTTATTCTTAGGTGGAAAAAAAGAAAAAAAGAAAAAAATATTCAGTCATCGTCAACTGATTCGATTATTGAAAACACTATTACACTAAACATATAAAGTAAAACACCTTTTGTATGTTTCCTTTATGACAAGCTAGACGCTACAGTATGGGTAGTAATGGACCGTTTTCAAAATTGACTTGAATGCGAGCCTAACATGAAAATACAAAAGACATCACACTCTTTCTCCATGGAATTGGTGGCATTTCTTTTGTATTTGCGTGTCCATCTCGCATTCAAGACAATTTTAAGAAGGGTCTATTTTATGGCCAAGCACACTAACCCTGACCATAACTATCCATTTATAGCGATTTTACTTGGCCCATGAAAGAATATTCAACGTAATTCATAGTATTAGACATAAATTCAATTTTTTTTTTCTTTTGTTTTTCTTTGACTGTTACTAACTAATTATATGAATTTGTTTTTACGGGCCAACTAAAATCACTCTAGCGTACTTTAAACACGAAACTTTTATTTATATGGCAAATATTCACTATTATCCATGAATCGAGTGCTCTTCAAGACATGGGCTTCCTGTGTCACCTTGAAGCCTTAGAATTATTTTGATAAGATAATAACTTTTCCCCCGGAAAAACAATTGTTATTGCTTGATTGTTTGATTCAATGTAGTGGTTTAATTGGAAATAGTTATTGATACCAGTCCCTCCTAAATTTTTTCACTACAGAATCGCGTGGGGACTGGACCCCAGAGTTTCTATCGCAGACCATGAGAAAGAGATGCATTCTGGGAAAAATCGAGCGTGACGTCACATTTCTTCATGGGACTGATTCAGGGGATTTTCAGAAGTTAGGGAAAGTGGCTGACATGGAAGTGTGTGTACTGTTGTGTTGTGAGATGGATAATTGTGAGGCAGCATTCATGGCGGACAGGAACTGCTACGCTGTGAAATGTCATAGTCAAGAGCACTGTGTTACTGCGCCTGCGCAGAAAAATAAATGGCATCCGTCGGTAGTTTTTGTGAAAAAGATTAGCCAATCAAACAAAGATAAAGCAACTCAGACTGCACATGCGTTAAGTAAACAAAATGGACCAGCCAAAGAACATGCTCCAAAGGAGATGTCTGCTGAACATAAAGATTTCAAATTTCAAGTTGGCCAATCAAAGGTTGGTAAAGAAAGCCAAACTGCGCAAGCGCAAAACAACCTAAGTGGGACATCAAAAGAACAAACCAAAAAGAAGACTTCCGCTGTCCAAAAAAATATCAATTTTTATGTCGATCAATCGAAGGTAAAGGAAAGTCATACTGCGCAAGCGCAGGATAAACAAAGTAAAACATCTAAAGTACATGTTCAAAAGGAGAAGCCCGCTGCACAAAATAATATCAAGAATTCTCAAATCCCTGAAAGCAGTGATGACGTAGAGTCGAATGGGATTATGAACAGTATGAACATTCCTGTCAATGGCAAACCGTCAGTAGTAAGACTAGATGAAGAAGAAACAAAAACAAAAACAATTCCTCTCGATAAACGAAAGGTGAGTTGAAGCTTCCGTGGGACTAAGGCTCTGTTTGCAAGGGCTCATACCTTTCCCAAGTGCTCACTCTTATTCTTACGTGGGTTTACAGGCTAAAGCTGTTATGATGTCCTTGCCATTCATTTTTGACCGTAATTTTTACATGCAGTTTTTTATGTCAAAATCCTAAACGTCTTTAAAAACCCTTCTTTGACGTCATCACTTCGGTACTCCATTCAATGGATGAAGAGCCACTCTGTGGAAATGCCGGTGTTAAATCTCATCAAATCCAATTGCCCTATTTCACATGACGTCACATCAAAACAATCTATTGTTTAAACGCAAAGGATCATGGTCGTCGAAGGGGGTCAAATCAACGCCAATTCACCGAAAATTGTTCTAAAACCCGTATCAATCCACGAAGAGAAGTAGAATAGCCAGCAAACATAGCCATATTTTTTAATACATATTAACACATATTATATCTGAAAACCAGGCCATTTTAGATTAAACTGTTTTGCTAGGAGTAAATTTTGTTGAATTTTCTATTGGATTTGGCGATTCTATCCCCCACATAAACAAGCAGTGACGTCATAGTGAAATAGGGCAATTTTTATTAACTGATGTACTTATTAAATGCAAATAATTAAATGTATTTATAGATGGAAAAACGTGATGAAATGTTCAAGAAGTCGAAGAACAGTTTAATAACTGCGGCGGTCCTGACGTGTTCAATGGCGGTGGTGTTGAGCGGTATCGCTGTCATCGCCGCGAGAATACGAAAAAAGCAAGAATCACATCAAGACTCTCAATACTCTGAAGTACCGACAGCCGAAAAATGAACGATAAACTAGAGTTTGAAAAATAAAAATAGCTTTATAAATCAGTAAAGAAATGGAAATACAAAATAGGAGGAAAGATATTTTAAGGCTAGTTATTGATGGTTTTCACGGCGGCCATGTTGGAGGAACTTAACAAAATAATTGTCAATGAATTCTATTATATCCTCCAACATGGCCGCCGTGTCTTTTGTTATTTAATTCTCTTGAGAATGGTTGAAAACCATCAGTTGGAAGTAAAAACCTTGTATTTCTGTTGAAATCACGGTAAAATAAGTTATGAATATTTGCGAGCATAAGTTAGATTAGAAAATAAATAAATTTCAAACAAATGAAGAAGTGAATTTATTATTTCAATTCGTTTGTTACAAAATAAATTTTGAAAATATATTAGCTTTGTATATGTTAATTCATGAGAAAATAAAATTTAAATCGTATTTACAAATTGAAGCAAAATTGAAAAAATAGCCAAATAAGTTACATTCTCAAAAAATATTCTTTAATTATATAGAAAAAAATATTTAAAAAAAATATTATCGACTGCATTTTTAGAAATATGCATGACAATCAACACATTAAAAAAATAAATTATACAGAAATGTAAGTTAAATTTTCGAAAATTCAAAATATATTAGGGATGCTATAAGCCTATCTGCATTTTAAAATGCTAGAGCGATGGTACTTAATCCGTGAAATAAAAACAAAATAGTTATTAATTAATAGTCGCAATTTAGTGCCTATTTAGTCGATATCACTCAAGTGAATGAATCTACATATGAATACACAGGAGACATCAAATACACAAGAAACATGTTAGTCATTGATAGTCATAGCATTGATGAACAAATGACTAACATGTTTCTTGTGTATTTGATGTCTCCTGTGTATTTATATATAAATTGATTCACTTGAGTGATATCGACTAAATAGGCACTAAATTGTGACTATTAGTTAATAACTATTTTGTTTTTATTTCACAGATTAAGTACCATCGCTCTATTTCGAACATTATTATTAGTCACACTTTGAATGCAAGACAGATATTCATTTATCTCAATACAACTAGCAGAATGCTTAATTATCTAAAGAGGGATCTCTTCTAACATCCATTATCCAGTCAATGAAGATCATTTTTTCTTTCCGACTTTTTTATAGGGGAATCTTCTCCATGTAGCATTCAATATCTATTTATTGAAGATTTTAATTAAGCTTGTGGTATCCAATGAATGGAACAGCAAATCAAAATCATCTTCTTTCTGGTTCCTTGCATATCAATCACAGGGGAATCCCCCAAGACGTTTCCATTATTGAAGAGAATTTTCTTTGCTTCCTGGGAATCTCCACTTGTTTCTCATAACAGGGGAATCCCTCTCTTTCAGATGGAAATCCAATTACTCCTCCATAAAAATCATTATACATCCTGTTGTTTTTTATCCTTCAGAGGAAGGATTTGTCCTCCAAAAGTTCTCTACTCTAGACTTGCCAAAAGGAATTCCACTCTGTCAATAGTTTCAAATCACTGAAAAAAAGGCAGCCCAGTTCTTTTTCTTTGTCACATGACTGATTCCCTCCGTTAGCAGAGTGCACTTTTCCACAAAGCAAATGAAAGGCCAACAGCAAGGGGATCCCCTTTGTTACCAGTTTATCAAGACAAGGGAATACCCTTTGAGCAGATTAATTTCTCCATGCATTAAAAGAAGGGCTGTCTTGTTGGTTCATACATGGGGAATCCCCATCAGTCAGAACATCTCCATTACTGAATGCAATGTGTTCCTAAGGAAAGCCAGTTAATTGTTGTTGAAATGTGCAAGATTTTAATGAATGAAATTTGTGACGACAAGTTTACAGTGTACCACAATTTCCTTGACATTTCGACACCATCAGGCATCATTTTCAAGAGTGAAGAAATAATTTAATTGCAAGTACTTATAACAATGTGCATGATACCAATTAATTTGGGACAAAATTCAGTAAGAAAAAGGTCATCAAAATTTCAACTTCAAACCACAGAATCAAGCATGGAAAAATTTATCAAGAGGTTGTAAGAAAGTTTAGTATCATAAATGTAAAAAAATGTTTATCCAATATGTGAGTGATAATTTGATGATAATGGTGGTGATGATATCGAATTGGTAAAAGTCAATTCTCACATAAGAGGATTTTCTGTGACAGTTTACTCTCCAAACACTCAGTATAAAGGGCTAAAAGCAATGGCAGCCCAATGGCCAGCTATAATGGTCGATAATTGGACTGATCAACATGTGAGCAATCAATGTGAACAATCAAGAGGAACGCTACTATTGAGTAAGTGCAAGCACCAATGTTGCCCAGAGACATTGTCTGTGTATGCACCAGCTGATATATTTAAATTCAAGGAATATAAAACCTGCGTGAATGTCTCCATGATATGGAGCTGGGAGCTCAGAACAAGAAAAGCAAGTATGCAATAGCATGACACAGAGACATAAAGCAGCTGCTTTTTACTTTAAATTGTATGGAAATGATTTTTTTGCACAAGCATGTCTGTCCTCTGATATAAACACAGTAGCCAGCCAATGGGCTCATGTGTGTTATATATCAGATATTTTATCTAACCAATCAGTGCATGCATTATATTTCAAATATTTCATAACATAAATAATAATATATAGGGTAAAAAATGAAGCTGTAATAGCCCAGCAATAATGACAGTGGGAACCATAAAAACATCAAAACATAAACAGCTATAGCTTAATAATTCTTAGTAATCTATCATCTTCAAAGCTAGGCATACATATAAAATAGAATAAAGTTTTCTTGAGTACAAACCCTTTGTTCTTCAATAGAAGGTCTTGATGTTCTCCCAGATCCATGAAGAGATTGATTTCTCACTATGTATGCGGAGCCAGGTCTGGAGAAGTAAGCTGTTTCATTTTGAGGGATTTGTTGAATTTCCTTGTTTGATACCTATTAGATAATAATTAATATATAATAATACATTTATCATTTTTAAAAAATTTTGTCAAATTTATTTACAGGTTAGTAAAGGTTAGTAAAATGGAGATTATAATATGGTTCACTTTCTTTCGAAAAGAAGACATTCATTCTGTTCATTCATTAAAATTTATTATCTAATTAAACAATTATCAAAGTATATCTTTGCTATACCTCATGGGGGCACCCTTCCCCTTCCCAGCTACCTCCACTTGCACCCTAAAAATGTACTATTACAGTGTAAATACAAATGTTACCTTTTTAACAATATCCAATCTGATCAACTCTGATTTTGGTGTCCTTTTGCAGTTAGCAGCTATTGGAAAATCACAAAAAAAGAAACAAAAAAATGTCTTAAACATATGTCCATTAGATTTGAAAAGAGTAAATGAATAACCTTCATTATTATATGGCAAGGTAATTTCACGTGCTATGATTGGTCAATTTACGCTCCATAACTTATGGTATGGACCTCGCACTCAGTTAATAAGAGCAATTTCAATGTTATGAATATTTATTACTTTCCTACCAGCAAAGAATGGCCAAATATTTTCTATTGCAGAAGCAAAGTCAGCTGCAGTCCTGCAAATAAGGAAAGGACAAAAACATTATTGAGTGGCTGATCCAGAGCAATTTCAGAGGTGGGGAGTGCTTAAAAGGCATCACATACAATTGTAGCACACACACTTTTAGGTCTTACCTTATCTAGACTCAGAAGAAGAAATTGATAAAAAAGATATTCACAATTCAAGTCAACCTATTTTATCAACCTATAGTCAACTTTTTAGTTATTATGAGCAATTCCTTACCTTTCTTTGCTATCAGTCAACGTAAGATCAGGTTTGTATTCCATTATTGTCATGACAACCTTGCCATGACCTTGGAAAGCAGCACAGTGCAGAGGAGTCCATAGTGTACCTTTGTTACATCCATTCACATCAGCACTGTCATAAAAGAAACACAATTCAATCAACTCATACATGTATGTATCTTTATTTAATAATGCAGGTTTGAAGTATACCTGCAGTACTATAAATACAAAAAGCAAAATTATATATAAATATATGACTATTTTTTAAGAATGTTGTTGGTCAGAAATAAAAAAAAAATGGGAAATTTTTTATACTTTTATATCTTCTAGCTAAAATATGAAAAATCACATTTGCCCCATATTCCTATCTAAAAGTAAACTACACTTGTCGGCTGTGAATATATTACAATTTGCAGTGTGCAAATCAATCTCAGATCTCAGATTCTAGATCTCCCACTGATGTTTTTTTAAAAATAGGCAGACACCTCCATATTTTGGACAGCTCTTTAGATCCCCTGAAAATAGAATTTGTATACTACATTCTTTGTAAAATTTATTAACTTGGACTATATTTCGGAAAAGCCAGCCTTTTAGTTTCCTAATTAGAGAGGTTTTACTCTATCAAATATTGAGCTTACCCACTGTCTAGTAGCAGACGTACAATGCTACTGTACCCCCAAAAGGCTGCAATGCATGCTGGTCGAAAACCTTGTGCCGAGTAAGAGTTAGGATTGGCACCACTGTCTAACAATGATTTTATAAGCTAGAGAAAAAGGAAATAGGGAGAAAATAGTAAAAGTCTAGATAAGGAAAAATTCAATTACAAAGGTTAAAAAGCAAGGAAAGATGAGAGACGCACGCATGACAACCAACTTGACAACACAACACTACAAACTAAATTCGAAATTTTTAATTTTTTTGTTGTACTTTTAGAAAAACAACATTTTATAATATGAAAAACTCCAAGAAATGAAACCTGTTTTGACGTTCTGAGGGTAAAACTGTACCTTTTCGTCTCCATTGGCCGCAGCGCTCGTGAGTTCGTCTCCATCCTCCATTTTGAATATGATTATTAGAAGTAAATCCGCTGTGATAGTAACTGTAGGCTCATTTTCTAGTCTCCGCCCTTCTTCTTCACACAGGGACCCCAAATTTATTTATTTTTTGTGATTTTTTCTTTCAAAAGCTCTGCTTTGCCTTTGGTTTATGCTCGATCACATCTTTCTTGATTCTTTGATTCTATGTTTCTATTTCGAGTTTCATTTGGAATGTTTTTAATAATATTTGAGATTATTAGAAGTAGAAACATTGGGCCTCCTGTGGCATCGAAGACGAACACGTGATTGTCAAAAATTATTCAACAAGAACACACGCGATCAAGACTCAAAATCAATTTGTAAAATAGTTTAAAATCTTCTTTGAAATGGCTTCGGCATTAGATCAGTTGAAAACGTTTACCACTGTCGTTGCAGATACTGGTGATATTCAAGGTATTTCGTGCGTTTTCGTTATTTTTGGGCCGTATTTGTTTGTTCACCATTCAATGTTCGCTTTCTTGCTCGTACAGCTATCGATAAATACAAACCCACTGATGGCACTACGAATCCCTCGCTTATCTTGGCTGCTTCTAAGATGCCTGAGTACAAACATATCTTAGAAGATGCTGTGAAATTCGGAAAAGAGAATGGAAGGTAGGAAAGCATGCCTGCTTATTTATCTGTCAAGAACATGGGTTTTTTTCCCGAGGGGGCAGGGGAGGGAGAGATTTTTTTCAGGTATGTATCTATAAGTATATATAGCGATATTCCACCATTTTAGTAAATCAAACTCAGACTTATATAGTCATCCTGCTAACAGATTCAAATTTTCCCATTTATTTTGCATGAGGTAATTAACACCAAGAAACAATACAGAATGTGAAGTGATACTCGCCTTTTGGTTCTTTAATAATTCCTAAATTTCCATAGTTTTAACATATAATAAACTTTATTCCCCTCCTAATTAGCACTGTAGAAGAGCAAGTAACTGCTGCAATGGATAAATTGGTATGAATTAAAAGCAATGTTACAGCACTTCATATGCACACAATTGTACGATTTTCTATGTTCAAGTGGCTGTCAATCAAAGTGTTTCCATGACATTATCAGAAAGCACAAATTAATGGCCGACGAAAATAAATCGTAAAATTTTGGCCCTTTCCTTTCGAATCTCAGAAAGATATTTCAGTGAGTGATTATTGATGTATCCAAGATTATCTCAGCAAAGATCCAGCTCGAATGAAAGAGTTTTAATTTTGGAGCGATTTTCGTCCAAGTGCCCCTTTCAATGTGGGCAAAACTTTTTCCCAATGTGTGGCCAATATTAAAATACTGTGTATATTGTATTTGTTTTATACATACAGTACAGTGTATTGGTACTAAAAATATGTCATAAGGAATAAGCAAATAATGTGCCATACAGAGTTAGGAAGGGATAACTAGCTAAAAACTAGTGTGAGCTGTGTTGGTGTTTTTAATGAAACAGTAATGATAAAAAGGTAAATTATACACCGTGAAAAGATGAAAAAACTTACTGATGTTTCGGACGCTAGTCCTTCATCGGAGTAAAAGATTAAAAGAGTAAAAGATTACTCCGATGAAGGACTATAGTACAAAACGTCAGTAAGTTTTTCATCTTTTCACAGTGTATAATTTACCTTTTTATCATTAGAGTTAGGAAGGGTATGATTAAGTTGACATGTACAATGTATATATAGAGAGAGACATCGAGAAATATAACAGTATTTCTAATTGGTCATAATATACATTGTAACTTTTATAGTATGTCTCCTTTGGAACTGAAATTTTGAAGATTATTCCTGGTAGAGTGTCAACAGAAGTAGATGCAAGGTAAGAGCAATATAGAGTTGGTGTACTCGTTCATGATCAATTTATTTTTTTCCTTCTGCATGACAATTATAACCACTGATGCCATCATACTAATCATTAATTGTCATCATAATCATCAACATCGTCATCTTAAGTTTTTGTCTCTGAGGATAGAATAGGCTAGGTTTCCCTATAGAATGAACATCTCTCCCATCTTCACATTAATAATTTAATTTGCAGTCCAATGTGCAAGGTCTTTAATCAATAAGTCCAGTACAAGTAATTAACCCACATGTCTTTGTAATATTCAGGTTGTCATTTGATGTTGAAGGCTCCATTGCCAAAGCCAAGAGATTTATTGAACTGTACAAGCAGCAGGGGATTGACAAAGAAAGAGTGCTCATTAAGCTTAGTTCTACCTGGGAAGGCATTCAAGCAGCAAGGTAGGTTTTCTTGAAAAAAGATTTTCTTGTCTCTATGCACAATTCAATCCATTTAGTTTTCATTGCTGTTCACTGTTGCAGCAGAAAAAACAGCAGTGTAGACCATATTCATCAATCCAATGAGTATTAGAGTACAGTTCCCATGTATTTTACAGTGTATATTCAATTTATATATTTTTAAATGATTTATTTCACTGGTGGTAGACATATGCCAATTGACAGTCTAGTTTGTGACTTTTGTCTCAGTCAGTGTGTAACTATAGCTCAATGAAAAATTCTGGTAAAAAGGGTTGCAAAACGTGTAGTTTTTCTTTTACTCTTTTGCAGAATTCTTGAGAAAGAATATGGGATTCATTGTAACTTGACGCTGCTGTTTTCATTTGCACAGGTACCTTGCATAGCAGAATAACTTTTGTATGACTGTATGACTCATAGAATTTATGCAGTAACTTTCTTTCATTATAAGCACTGCAGCTTCTGGTGTAATAACTTTCCAACAAGGAAATATTTTAATTTTGTCATTAAATTTATCCAGGCTGTGGCGTGTGCTGAAGCAGGTGTCACGCTGATTTCACCTTTTGTTGGCCGTATATTAGACTGGTATGTCAAGAATACAGACCAGAAGTATGAGCCACAAGATGAACCAGGTACACTCAACGTTTAATGATAAAGGAAAAGTGAATAAGAAGGAAACTTAGCACAATCTGTTTAAAGTGTATATGACACGAAAAAATTTTAATGTTAAGAATGTGTAGTTTATTGGCATTAATAAGAATATCACAGTTAAATTTGTTTCAAAAACGTATTTCTCTAGAAATTCAAAAAATTTTAGCACGAGTTGTGACGTCATTTTGTTTACAAGTCTCCAGATTTAGTTGCAAATACACGAAATATGTTTGAATGTAGAATCTTAATTTCAGGTTGTACACTTTTCAGTTTCCCAACATTGGAAGAGTACTACGTAAGCTATCAAATGAAGCTGAATAGAATATGCCTTTTGTTGTTATTTTATACAAATTACAATTTAAATTACTACTGAATCTAGAGTACGTGTCAACAAAATGACGTCACAAATTGGGCTTAATTTTCTCACATATCTCAAGAATGAAGCTTTTGAAACAAATTTTGTTACGATATATTTATTATTACTAACAAACTATACATTTTAAATGATGGAATGTTTTCGTGTCATATACACTTTAAAAAGACTGTACTTGACATTTTGGATGTATTCCTTTATCAAAATAAAAGAGGAAGGACAACTAAAAATAATGAATAATTCAAAACACTCTTTTTCTAGTCACATTTCCAGCCATGACAGATTACAGGTTGGGTTCCCTGTGAGCTATTAGACCCAGAATATCTGAATGGGCCATTTGCATGATGGTTTTATTCATTTTACTCCCACTACTGAAATTCTTTGCAAATTTTCTTTCTTATTCAAATTTTTATTTCCTCATGAGAACAATAAAACAAATTGGTGCTAATTAATTAATTGTAAAAAGAAAGTATGCAAGGGAGTCTAGTAGTGTAGTACAAGTAAATGATGCAAGATTTAACCTATTGGCATATGAGTTTAAAGAGTTGGCAACATTGTTGAAGCATTATTATTATGATCTGTTAGGTGTGAAGAGTGTGGCAGCTATCTATAATTACTACAAGAAGTTTGGTTATAAGACTGTTGTAATGGGAGCATCTTTCAGAAACACTGGAGAAATAGTCGAACTCGCAGGCTGTGACAATCTCACCATCAGGTTGGTAAAACATATTTTTCATAATAAAACATAACTTTTATACCAAAAACAAAGATCTACACTATCATATTCATAAAGTGAATCTATTGAGACAACAGTGTCATAACAGGGAAATCGGGCAATACTGTACATGTAGACTACCATCAATCAAATTAAATTGTTTGCTTCCCTTACATACTCTGATTGAATGGCAAAAGTGTTGCCCAATTTTCCTTTTGCAACTGTTGACTCCATCAGTGCTCCACAATGAAAACAGTTCAAACTACATTGTAAGCTAGTTACTGCTTGTTTAGATAGCCCATTCATAGTTGTATACTGCAGCCTTGCAATGTTAGTGTGCCTGGATTAATTCATAAAACACGAAAGCTTTAAAGAATTACATGTTATTCAATCTTTGCCCTCAAATATTTTTTCATATATTTTCTTCGCCAGCCCATCTCTGCTTGAAAAACTTCAAAACTCAAAAGAAACAGTCAACAGAAAATTGTCAGTCGAAGAAGGTAAATTACATTTTGTAAATTCAAATTCTAGCTTTGATTATTTTACTTTTGTTTAATTTTATTAGATAATCTCTTTGCAGCCGTTCTCATATTGTAAGTGTCGGTCCTAAATACCAGATGGTTTGTAATATATACAGTATGAGTGACCGTGTTGATATACAAACTTGAGGCATAGCCGAGGGGTTATATATCAGATACAACATGGCCACTCATACTGTAGATTACTTATCAAACGTCTAGGTTAGTTTCTTTGTGTTTCGCTAAAATTTTCAAAATTAAAGTGAATCTGGCCAAGAATATCCAACTTAAAGTTTATGCAAATGAACACGATTCTGTATCAGATTTACAACACTCTTCATGATCGTGATTTCTGTTGTGTTTTCCTCATGAATTATTAATGAGTTTAATGAGAAATAATTGCAGTACACAGACTGTTTACGAAATTCAATAGAATTACAATAAAACACTCCAAGTGATATAATAGAAGGAACTAACAAAGAATACAAAATAATTATAATTATATAGGTTTGCAGTACATGCAGAAGGACCCATATTTCATTGAACTAGAAGTGAAGGTTTTATTTTAACTATAGTTGATAGAGGGGGCCCTCCATTAACTATGTTTTAACACAACATTTGTTTATTTTACAGCACAAAAGTTGGACATCACAAAAGTGGAACTTGATGAAAAGAAGTTCAGGTGGCTACTGAATGAAGATGCTATGGCAACCGAGAAACTCGCTGAAGGAATTAGAAAGTTTGCAGCTGATGCTGTTAAGCTTGAAGACATGATAAAAGAACAACTGCAAGCTGCTTGAAATTGTGAAGCTATATATTGTAACTGTTAGACAGGTTTTTCAGACCACGAATCTGGTTTTAGGTTTTTTCTGGTTCTAGGGCATGCTGCTATAATATATCAATCCAAAACCAATCTGTTATCACTACTTATTCTAATATGCTTGCAAGATTAGTATTTCTTATACCTGAATATGCTACCATGGTAATGAATCTATAATGAATTTGATTATTATGATTGTGACTCTTTCATATAAATCTGAATAAACATGTTCTGCCATTGATTTACAGTACTTCATTCTATTCCTCTGAAAATCGAAATGATATATACTATGAATCATAAGCGGAAGGAAACAAAGCGTTTGGTTAGGGAATAGACATGATTACCCTTTTTTAAATTGTCTTGATTGCAAGGCTAACATGTAAATACAAAAGAAATGCCAAGAAGAAATAAAGTGTGGTTTCTTTTGATTTATATATAGCCTTGCATCTATTTTACTTTTGAGAATGGTCTGACCATTAAAAAAAAAGCACATTAGGGCTACTCAGGTAGTGAGAAAAAGTGAGTTTACTTGGCCCTCAAAATGGCCCAATGAAAGTTGTATGATTTGTGAATATAGTAATACTGGCAACTTAAAACAAAGCAATCTACCCGTACGTCTTCGAATTGTACTATGCTTGTTATTTTTTCATTTCCCAGCTAGCAGAGTCTCCCTTCAGTGGCAATTCTTCAATGGCAGAGAATCTCATGCATTTTCTCTGCCAAGAATCGTCAACGGACGAGACTCTGCTAGCTGGGAATCTTTTCACCAGCTGAATATTTCAATATAATATTGCCATGGTAACCAGTAGTTCTTCAGATAGCTATGAGATCTTGAGTCAGTCATTAGCATAATTTAGGGGAAGTCCCTTAGAACGTTAACAAGTTCTTTTGATATGGTAAGATCGATTGAAATAGTAGTGCTATGAACAAAATTTGTGGCAAATAAGGTTTTGTTGGTCAATATTATTAGTAAAACGAAGCAACAAAATAAAATAATAATACTGAAAAGTTGTATCAGTTTAGAGGCTGAAGGTTGGCCAAGGGTAAACATTTAACAGGAAAAGAAATTTAACTTAGAGCTGTCAAACCAGCTCTGTAGCTCTAGCTAGTGTTTTGCAAGGCATTTTTTACTCTAATTGGTTCAGGATTTAAGGTCGTTTATATGCATCATAGGGCAAGAACAGGTAGCACGAAAAGTTTGCCATATTGCATCAGCTCATCCGGCCGGCTGACGTCATTCCGGACTTTGCCTCTCGTCACACCCCTATGAACGCCCCCTTTCTTTTGTCTTACAAATTTTAAATTCAAATCGCTTCAATACTTAACTTATATCATTGAAAAATATTTAGAAATGTTCAATTTACGATATTTCTTTCTTAAGTTACGAAATTTTGAATTTTGAAGCGAAATATTTTGTATTGGAATACCCGACAAACTGGATTTGAGCTTGTTTTCGATGCTAATGACGCCTCTCGTATGTCACGGGATTCATGATTGGTTTAGAGCCTGCCACTCACATGGTTTGTTATTGTGTGGACGTGGAGCGTACGTTCATAACTTCACGTTCAACTGCCTTATTAGTATAAAAGGTATCAAAAAGCATCCTCGATAGTGAAGATTTAGTAAGAAACCGAAAAGAAATCGTCCAAGTCTTTTAGTTACTAAAAATGAGGTCCGATCCAACTGGGAAAAAGCCAAGTGTGGCGATGAAGTTTGTAAGTGCTGGCCTCGCCGCTTCTATAGCAGAAGCTGTTACCATTCCAATCGATACAGCCAAAGTTCGTTTGCAGGTAAATCAACCAGAACTTTATCCTGCATTGTATATGCGTTTTTATTTTAAGTCCTCGATCTCTAATTCGTTTTATTTTCGATAAAATATAGCTAAAAGATAAAAAATCACTGGTACAGAAAGTTTTACGATCTAAAAACGTCACGTCATGGTATCGTAAATTATTCTGGATTTTGTACCGTTTTTTTTTTTTGTCTGTTTGTTGTTGATAGAGAACTGGTTGTGTAGTTTAGCTTTAGGTTAAACTTTAGCGTTCGTATCAAACATTTATTGTTACAATTACATAAATTATGACTACATGGATTGCTATACGTGCTACGCGTAGCAAAAGCAGTGGAAACAGTGAGGGTTACTACTTGGCTTTTAATCGAATACTAACACAATCAAGAATATGATGCCTTTTTCCGGACATTCGCTTTCTTTTGTATATTTTTTATTTGATAACAGATCGACTTTGTTTTTATTCTTTGTATATTCTTGTACCTTTTTTCGATTGATTGTAAAAACTATTTCGTAAATCCGCGAACACGAGCCCAAAACAAAACGGCGTCTATACGGCTGGAAATAAGTAATTGTGTCTTGTTCTAAACCCCATTGAAGCCCACAAGAAGTTTCACAGTACAAATTATCTCATACGTACCTGGTTTTTTTTTCTTGGAATAAATGGTAGCTCGCTGTCGGAGCTAAGAAAATATTACAGTAAAAAGCGGCATCTACACGAGCAAGTTTTCCTTGACAGGTTTTTTCTTGACAAGGAAAACTTGCTCGTGTTGATGGAGTAAAATGAACAATATTTCCTTGACAAGGAAAAATTGTCAAGGCTGAAATTTGCTCGCGTAGATGGACAAGGAAAGTGTGGCAAGGAGCATTAATGAGTTTGGTTCTCAGTCTTTGACTGACGGCTAAAGCAAAAATAAGTTGGAGTGACAAAGCTGTTTTTGATTTTTTGCTCCACAAGAGACTGGGAAAAAAATTTGTTAATACTCTGCTGATTAAATGTGTTTATTTTAGGCTTAAGCAACTTGTTAGACATTACGTAATATATATTAAATAAACTAGATGAAAAGCCATTTAAAGTCAAGATAAAACCTTTCAACTGCTAGTTTATTTGTTATCTATTTGTCTGCACTCTGATCAAGCTCCAGGGCCTCGTTGTACACTAAGGGTGGATAGCGCTATACATAACGGATAAATTCTTGTCAGTACAACTGGGCCCAGGTTCAGTTTTGACTCCTGTACACGCCCCAAAATGTTTATAAAGGGATCCCAGTTTAATAAGATCCTACTGGAGATGGGAAGACATATTTTGAAAGTTTTTCGATTAATCAATTTATCTCTTTTTCTTGGTTTTATAGATCCAAGGTGAACAGGCAGTAATGTCAAACATTGCATCAGGGATTAAAATGTGCGACCCCGGTGTCAAGTACCGAGGCATGATAGGAACAATGTATACCATTGCAAAAACAGAGGGTGTAAAGACAATGTACAGGGGTCTCATACCAGGCGTTCACCGTCAGCTCTGCTTTGCAAGCATTAGAATTGGCCTATATGATTCAGTAAAAAAGATGTATGGAGATGAAGACATCAATAATCCTAAAGTGTTAAAGAAAATAGCTGCTAGTATAACTACTGGAGTCATGGCCGTAGCTGTAGCACAACCAACGGAAGTGGTGAAAATTCGTTTCCAAGCTGACGCTGGTAGATATACCACAGGTGCCATTGCAACATATGGAATTATCGCACGAAGTGAAGGAATTAAAGGATTATGGAAGGGTATATTTCCAAATATGGCAAGACTGTGCACTGTAAACGCATCAGAACTTGTTGTATATGATTCTATCAAGAGTTTTTTCTTGCGGCATAAGTTAATGGCTGATGAGTATCCATTGCATTTTGTGTCAGCTTTTGGAGCTGGCTTTGTGACGACTTGCATAGCATCGCCAGTGGATGTTGTCAAGACCAGATACATGAATTCTCCACCCAACACTTATAAAAGTGGCGTTGATTGTGCCATACAGCTGTTCAAGCATAATGGAATTACTGCATACTATAAAGGGTGAGTAGATGTATATTTAACAAATAGACATCAGTCTTTTAGTTTTTTATGTGTCTGTCCTCTTATTGAGGATGAAGTGTGGATCCGCGTGCTACTTTGACAATGTGATGACACGGCGAAATTTAAAAATTAAAATATGGTTTCCACAAAATATTGTTTCCTGCATATTACATCCTGGGGATATTTTTGAGAAAAATGTTTGAAAAAGTAATACTATTACTTTGTACTGTACTTTGATTTATGCATGTACAGTATTACTCTCAAGCTCAGTAATGCTATATTAACTCTCTCTCTGTGCATCCACAATATTGCTCTCAGTAATAATTTGGGCATCAATATATTTTTTTAAATAACCCATATCTTATAGATTTAACTTTTTCTCTTGCAGTTTTACTCCAAACTTCATCCGTTTAGGTGCTTGGAACATTGTCATGTTTATGTCCTATGAACAGCTTCAGAGATTATTTGCTAAATTAAAGGAAATAGCCACCAAATCAAGTACAAAACCTATCTAGAAAATTTTTCATCAAAAAATGCTGGGAAAAAAAGCAGTTTGGGTCTAAATTTTCATAATTAGAGAATTAGAATATTTTGAAATAAATATTTTGGAGAATGTTAAATGTAAATTGAAGTAGGTGGTGTAGGTTAGGGTATATATTAGGCCCCGTCCACACGTATCCGGAAATTTTTGTATCCACAAATTATTTTTTGTGGATGCGAAAATGTTTGCGTCCACACGCAGCATATTCGTATCCGTTTTCGTAAAATTTGCGGACACGTGTGGACGCAACCCATATTCGCAAAAAAGGATTTGCAGATACAAAAATTTCCGGATACGTGTGGACGGGGCCTTTTATTAGTTAATGTAATTTTCTAAATTTTCATAATTAGAGAATTAGAATATTTTGAAGTAAATATTTTGGAGAATGTTAAATGTAAATATTGAAGTAGGTGGTGTAGGTTAGGGTATTATATTAGTTAATGTAATTTCAAAAAATATATAGTGTTTGTGATCACTAGCACTGCTGTCAATCAAGATTGGAAAATAGTTAATCAATTTCATATAAATTTTATTTTGGGTTGTACCATGAGTACTTACCAAATTAAAACTATTATAATATGTATTAGTAATAGGTGCATGCCTTAGCTATAGTATATAGGCTAGCTACATGTATATTCAACATTTATTAATTTTATAATCAATTTTAATCTATCAATCGATCAAGACATTGTTTTTTTCTAATATAATTTATATTCAAAATAAACTTGGTCTGCAGGATGCACCACATTAAATTACACACACATATAGCTAGTATTATATTCACCCTTCTTAATATTTATGTGCATATTTAATGAGCAGCATGAAAACGAGGCTATTCCCGCTTCAGAGATTCAAGATGGCGGCCATTTTTACAGTCCTTTCAGTGAAGTGGCCGTTTTTTCTACAGTACTATTTTTTGTCACAAATATTTTTAGTTTTATAGATTCCTTGAATACTGTTATAGAAATGGCAAGCAATTTTTTTAACCGTGACCTTGGTTTAGTCCCTAGTTTTACTTTTAGTTTAGTGGAGGAATACATCTCAAGTCATAGCAAATCGTCAGGAAAAAAATACATAACTAAAGGTTTCAAATACTACAGCGAAAGTTTCATTTTT